TTCGAGACGATCCGTAATCAAATCAGACCTGAAAGTAGCTGTTTCCAATGTGTAGAGTATTTTCGAGGTCGTGAAAGGCGTTGGGCGGGCGGGAGGGACGTTGGCAGGCTTCGAGGACTCAACGCGGGCGGCGAGGTGGGCAAGTTTATATGTGCCCAGTAGCGTAGAGGGCGAAATCAGCGTATAGGTAAGTGGCGGGAGAAGGCTCGTTCGGCCGGCCCCCTTGGGATGTCCTTCTGCGCCTGGCCGTCTGGATACAGTCTGGGCCAGCAATCGGGGTGCCAATTACCTAACTATTATCAAGGATTTGTATTAGACGGGGCACCAAGCGCTACAGTGGGGCAATGTGCTGAGAATGACAAACCGCGTGGCTTGTGCTTGAAGTGTTTCCAGCCACATGTGACACCCCACCAATGGCGCAGCTTTCGCCCTAAGGGTCGGCTATTTTGGTGTGCCCACAGAGTCAGCTTGCGACAAAACTCGCTCCGCCTGGAACTTTTCGCTGCAACTTCCTGTCAGGTCATACCGAAAAAAACCACCCATCAACCCCTCGGACTCGAAGATTCAGTCTCCGCCCAACTCGCGGTTAAATTGATTGACCTCTCGTGTTCTTTACCACGTCCATCTGTCAGTACTTGCCCTGCCACTGCAACCAGCTCTGTCGCATCCTCGACATCTTTCGCAAACGACCGCTAATTCGTCTTCTCGTCGCATAGACACAAATTCAAGATGAAGCACCTCGCGGCTTACCTCCTCCTCACCCTTGGTGGCAACACCTCTCCCTCCGCCGCTGATATCAAGGCCGTCCTTGAGTCTGTCGGTGCTGAGGTCGAGCAGGAGCGTCTTGACCAGCTTCTCTCTGAGCTCGAGGGCAAGGACATCAACGAGGTATGTCGTCTCATCGCTTGGGAGGTTTTCTTTCGGGTGTTGTACAACTTTGCTGACATGCATCACAGCTCATCGCTGAGGGCTCCAACAAGCTCGCCTCCGTCCCCTCGGGCGGTGCTGGCGGTGCTGCCCCCGCTGCTGGTGGCGCTGCTGCCGCCGGCGGTGACGCTCCCGCGGAGGAGGCCAAGGAGGAGGGTACGTTTTTTATTCGCACACAACCTGCTACGAGGCCGACTCAATTGCTGACTATCAACAGAGAAGGAGGAGTCCGACGACGACATGGGCTTCGGTCTCTTCGATTAAATACCCTTCCCACGACTTCCACGATTGGACGGGCCTCCGAATTTTCTCAGAAAAGCTACGCATGGGATGGATCAGGTGTTCACACGTCTTCGGCATGGGGGTATCTGGTCTCGACTCTGTTTCGACGTGTCTCGCGGCACGTAGAGCGTTCGTCTAGTTATGAACAATCAAACCCCTGGCGACTTTTTTGAGCATCGGCTACGGCCTCATTTCTTACTGCCGTGACATGACTTCTTGTGCTCATATCTACGTCCGGGTCTGCTAGCCCAACTGAAAGACGTGGATGCAATGCCATATAATTATGATGGGCAAGCTGTGACGGACACTCTCGTCAATCGTTCCGCTCCATTCTTCGGCTGGTCCCAGTATAGATGCATGGCGTGCCTCAGGCCCTTGAAGTCGAAAACCGCCTGTGATTATGTAAGGGAGACATATTGATCTATGGCCAATGATATGCTGAGCTCTGGCGATATGGCTCCACATGTTTTCTGTTGTCCCAGCAACGGAGCAACTGAGTGATTGGTTGATATGATTCCACCCAAATACTCGGCATGGACAGGGAACAAGCAGGCATGTCCAACCGCGATACAAGTTCCCATGACGCGCCACATAAAGTAATTTCTCCCCATTCTAATCTTCAGAACCATGGGTACGAATAACGCGTGAACGATAGTGCAGTTCTGGTCGATTCAGTCTTCTACTCTGCTAGCATTGGGACGTTTGGTCAAGAGGAGGAACGCGTTACGCCCATTTCAGCAACATCGAATCTCACGACAACAAAACCCGACATGGCGACGGCCTCTCCTACACCGATGGGCATGTCCCAGGGCTCTGGGCTCGTTCGGAGAACATCACAACGTCAAGCTCTTCGACGCCCTGCATCACGACCTGTCCTTGGTCGTACCGAATCCAACCCCGTGGCCTCAGCTGGGACAACCGCGTCGAAAAAAGAGGCCCAAAACTACACGCTCAACGACAGCTCCGACGACGAGATTCCAGTGCCCATGAAACTGAGTGCTCTCACCAAAGCACTTCTCGGCGGCCCTCCTGAACAGCAAGCAGCCTCCCCACCACGAACGCGACGCCGCGTCAGCAACCTCGCGGCATCCTTCTCTTCTGCCACAGAGGAGCGCCGACATTTACGATCGGGGAGTGTTCACGCGTATGAATCAAAGTCGTCACTGCCAACTTCACCACACAGAAGCAAAGAAGGCAAAGAAAACAGTCCCGTTCGTAAACGGGTCATCAGACTCAGCAACACTCCGAAAAGCCTCGGTCAATTGTCCCAACCCAAGCGACGGTCGACCTCCCTCTCCCGCTCTACACAGCGCAGCCGAACGTCCAGCCGGCCCGAAAGCCGCGATCAATCATCCGACGAGAAGCAAGCGGAGCCCCAGCAGGACGTGAACACTCCGGCTCAGGGCATTCGCGTTGTCCGAATTGCTGCTGGATCTTCCGGCACCAGGGGTAGAGTCAACAGCGCTTCGGCTCACTTGCGACGATCAGGATCGAATATGGATGCAGACTACCCGGAAGAAGAATT